AAAGGAAAGGAAAGGAAAGGAAAGGAAAGGAAAGGAAAGGAAAGGAAAGGAAAGAAAAAAAAATGCCCAGAAGTAACCCTAACCTGGATGTAACTCACTTTCCACTTCAAATTAATAGCGATGTACCTCCACTATCGTTATTCATGTCATAAGTACTAATAAAGTAAATATCTTTAACTAACACACTTTATGCAAAACATTTAAACTACAACATTTAACTATGATACCATGGTGTTTAAAAGGGCAAAAATCAGTTTAAACAAATAAAATGGTATACAGACTGTCAGAAACATATCACATATAACATATATAATAGTTTTACAGAGAAAAATGTATAAGCCTAACAGGGGATTGTCAATATGTCATAGGCCCTGGTCACTTTGGGGCTAACAAACCAGAGGAACTACTTAATTAAATGCATGATTAAATAAAAGAAAATTAATTTCTTTCTTGTTATAAAGAAAGTCTGAAGACACGAAATGGCATTTCATTTCATCCTGAAAATATAATTAAAATAAATTTAGTATTTACCTCATATGATTAAAACTCCATCCAACACTTTAGAAGCCCAAGCAGCTCATGATACAGTGATACAGCCTTCCCGTGGCACTCTTCAATTTCTGTAAATATAAGGAAGGTGAAAGAGTGCATTTAGAGCCAATATGTGTCTTTGTAAAATGATACTGATTAGCTATGAAATGTTTATAATCACTCCGCAATGCCTTTTAAAAAGTACCTCCCTACATGTAGCTGTTATCAGTTTTAAATGCACAATATAGCAATGAAAATTATGTCATCTGAGACTTTCAAGGCACTAAAATAGACTACAGCTTATAATACACCACAAAAAAGTAAATAAGACCACTCAATTGCATGTTATTTTACTGCGAGAGGCTGTTATACTGTGAAAACTAAGGCATTTGTAATTTAAATTATATTGACATGACCAAAATAAATATTTTTCTAGTCATAATGCTGAGTTACATGTAGTAGAGGGCATCATCTTATTGTTTAGTTTTTACCACTGACTTCTTTACAAGGCTTTAGCAAGTATTCTTACTTCATATCCCTAATTTTCCTGGAAAAGATTCATATAATGTGAGAAATGACTGTCATTCACTTGATACATTGATAAGCAATAGGTAGGCATTTAAGTGTATTCTGCTTCTAGATAACACACACTATATACAGAAAAAAAAAACACAATAGCTCAAACTTTCACAACCTGTTTCAATGATTTGTAGGCAAAACTTTTTAATCATATTTTCTCCTATCTACTTGCTAAAAGAGAAATACAGTGATAGGCTAGATATATACGTACTTAGCTGCAGTCCAGTGCTGCTTCTCCATTCTCAAACACATACTATTTAGGTAGAACAGGGAATGTTTTACATTCCTCTCCTACATCTCCCTCACAATGATAAGCCTTATTCATGTACTGTTAAATTCAGGCACAAATTTCAATGTATCAGTACCATGGACATCTGCCCCCTACCCTCCAAACCCTTTCTGAAAATCTCTAATCCAGTAGGTGACAAAGATCAGGATAGGAACAGAGATGGTGGGGAAATGGTACTCCTAACGGAGAAGTATAATTTGTCCAGGTACCTGTAGCACATTAGAACAGAAATAAATGAGCATCTTCTAAATACATTACAAGAGTGACCAAAAGAACAGTGACCAAAAAGAAGGGCTGAATTCATACAAATTACATCACCAACTCAATTTTCCTAAATGCTACTATTGAAAACCACATAGGCATATTTAGTACCTATAGATATAAAGACATATATATTCATATATAACATAGATGGATAGATAGATAAAAAAATGGATAAGCTAGATCCCTCAGTATGTGCTTCTTTGTATCTTTTGTCAGTTACTGGGTATTAGAACTTTGAAGAAAAGATGCTTTCTAGCCAAATAAATTCTGTACAGTAAGTAATATGTCCCATTAAATTCTAGAGAGAGATAAGAAACTACATTTACATTAGGGAGAAACAAACTGTAAAGGAAAGCATTGACCACTTTTGGCAGGAAAGAGAGTATTCTAAAATTCAGAATAGTAGGAAACTAGCCAGGCAAATGGTAAAATACCAAGGAAGGCTGCATAACATTTTATGAATGTCTAGACATTTTGCACAACTATCCTCCTTTCCAGAGAACGCGTCAACTAATCCAATACCTCATCACCTTCTAACTCTGTATTCACAATTGTGTGCCTTGTTTTCATTGTTATTTATAATTCTACAGTAAACAACCCAAACTATTATTGAAGGCTCACTGTGACAAGTGCCATGATAGATGTTTTCATATGCCCATCTCATTTAATCAATAAGATATATGCAGTGTCAAACTTTGCAGACAGTAGCCATTGTCTTCTACACCATATGTCTCAGCATAAAAATTGTAAATTGAAAAAAAAAAATCCTAATTTGGAAGTTGCCTGTTCTATAAAAGAAAGTGCTCTTTCCAACTAATTGTAAATTTTAAGTTCTGAATATTTTGTGTCTTTTAATGTCTAAGGTATTTATTGAATAATTAATAATGTACAGGAGATATGAAAATTACCAAATAAAATCCATTATCTAGTTACCTAAAACTTGTATTTTTGCATTCCAGTGGGGTGGGAGGATGATCCTGGAACCTCACAAGTCCTTTTGCTTATGATTACATTCAAAGATTAAATTTATGACATATTTAAGGAAGAAGGAATATGGATTACACCTTCAACCCACACACTGGAATTACCTAATTTTGTTGAAAGAAGATAATTTTAATTAAGACCAAATATTGCTTGAGGGAGATGAAAAATATCCTATGATAATAAAGTAAATGGCATGAATGCAAAAGAAGCTACTAGATATAAGGGATTAGAGACAGAGACTATTTTGCCAAATGGGAAACAAAAATTAAATTTGGGAACAGATAAGGTAATGGAGAAAGAAGGCAGGGGGAAATGTGTTGATAAAACCCATAAAAGTGCATATGTCTGTTGTTTTTTGTTGTTGTTGTTTTGTTTTTTGTTTTTGTTTTTGTTTTTGGTAGGAGTTGAAGGAGTACAATTGTTGAAGTTGAAATCCCTTCCGAGTTTTCTGGGTTATTATTAACGGAACACTGAAACACAAAAATGCAAAGCCATAATTACTAAAAAATGAAATCAGGGTCGCCTGGGTGGCTCAGTCGGTTAAGCGTCTGACTTGGCTCAGGTCGTGATCTCGCGGTCCGTGAGTTCGAGCCCCGTGTCGGGCTCCGTGCTGACCGCTCAGAGAGCCTGGAGCCTGTTTCAGATTCTGTGTCTCCCTCTCTCTCTGACCCTCCCCCGTGCATGCTCTGTCTCTCTCTGTCTCAAAAATAAATAAACGTCAAAAAAATTTTTAAAAAATGAAATCAATGATTATAATAACGGGGCATCACATTCTACACCAAATACTAACATATGAGAGAAGAATGCAGGCCCAAATGTGGTCCTGGGTGGGGTGACTCATTCATCTTAATTTGGGGAGATCCTCCATACTAAAATGATTTAGAAAAGAGCAAAAAGATATTAGTAATAGAAGCTATTGTTCTGAGGAAGAAGAAGGAGACTGTGAAAAACCGTTTTCATAAGAATTGGTCGATGTGGCTCAGCTGAGCTGAGGACAGAATTCAAAACGAAGAATGTGAGGAACTATATCCTCAACATTTTGATTGAGGCACACAATTATAGATAGCTGATAAGGTCTAGAACACAAAAAATGAGGACTTGATGAATGTGTATTTGCAAGCAAGCATTTAGTAGACAAAACAAAAACAAAAACGCCCATCCGTGTATAAAATAAAATAAAAAATAGTGCACGTGCATAGGACACTCGATAAAAATCATACTTAAAGCAGTGTACCTAATAACCCTGAGGGAAAACCTGTAAATAGTTCATAAAATATACACACAATTTTTTTTTTACCTTAAGTCTACAAAAATAATGTCATTTCCCCCCACCCTAAGATCCTGTGATTCATTACTGATGGAAATAAAACAATATTCCAGGCCTTCTGGCTTCCAAGTCTGTTTCCTCCTTACTACATGATATTGCCTCCCTCATTTCTAGTATCTTTGTATCATGAGATGGTTATATACTACAGCTGCATCCCAAATGGGTATGCAATACCGATCAAATAATGACTGTAAGTGCAGCAGGGGATCAATGTGGGGATGAAAGCACAATGCAGTTACCCCAGTCCCTAGAATTCAGTGAGGAATTAAAGAGCAGCTGTTACTGTTATTATTGTCTACAAAATGGGAGAAAATCTTACTAAGAGGAGTATATAATAATGAAGAAAGAAAAAAAATGTGAGAAAGCCTCGATGAAGATGCTGAAACAATTCCACAGGGATTAATATTTTAATTACCCAATTCCATAGGGATTAATTGTTTAATACAACCCGGGCAGGTTTAACGCCTTTGCGAATGAGTGACTTTAACTTCAATGTTAAATATATGTAAATGTAATTTGTAAAAGAATAATTGTTGTTTTGTTTACTTTTAGAGACCTCCAAGGATAAGCGATATTTTAAATGGCTTCATACTGGGATAAGAATACCCTTTAGGTTTATGGTGTAGTGCTAAGGAGAGTTTGGATACCAAAAAAAATAAAAAAATAACAGTCTTCTTGGAACTTCAATGCTATTTTTGAGGGAAAAATACATACTTACACTGTCAGTATTTCTAGGTATAAATACCCTGAGTTATGATTTACATTTCTATCTTTACACACCCTTATGGGGAAGAGTTTGAAAATCCTTGCTTTAAATGAAAAATCAGACGTTTTTACCATTCCTGTCTCTCCTCTTCTACAACATTTTCTAGTGATTGTCATACTTTATCTCAAACTGGGGGGAATGGGAGAAGGCTTTTTCAGAAGAAATATAGAGAGAGTATATGGCATCTTTTCCTAAAAGGAAAGTAAATCTCTGACTGACTTACTAATTTTTTTAATTCACCGTTATTTATACTTACTATACAATAGTCTGTGGGCTCTGTACAACCTAATTATTGATATATTTAAGAACATATACACATATACACACTCACTTATTAAACCAAGATGATCTATTGGTTACTGTTGTAACCTTCACAGAAGACCACATCTAAGGAATTAACACAGAGAAGATGATGTCATCACAGTGAAAAGTTCTAAGAAATTAACTTTTTGGATGATCCCTTAAAACAAATAATCCAGCACTACCTAAGGAGGATCCAAGTGGTGTGCAGCCTCTGACTTACTGTCTCATCAACAGGTTGGATAGCTTATATTTTGGTTTAAAGAATGGTCCACCCTGCATTAGGGAGAGAGTTGTACAGAGAGAAGACCAAGTGTTGTGAATTATTGTAGGACATCTGTCTCCTCTTCATATTATTAACTTTTTTTCTTTCTGGTCATAAAATAGAAGGAAGAAGTGAAATAACCTGTCTACTATGAGCCTAAATATGATGCTTTAAAATGTAATTTAATACATTCATCATAAGATAAATCATAGAAGGTAGGTAGTACTGTCCTTTAGCAAACATGAAACTGAGGCTTAGAGAGTGATGCAGCATTTTTTTTTTCAAGATCACAGACATTTCCATTATATAGCACTG